ATTCAGAAGCCATGCTGCCCTTGAAGAGGACCCATGTTTAATTCTCATCAGCCCACAACTGCCTGGAACTCCAGCTCCAGGGGCCTCCAACATCGTTGGCCTACACTGGCATTTGAACTCCCTTGCACACACACACACACACACACACACACACACACACACACACACACACAAAATTAAAAAAATACTGTTAGAATATCTTGAAGATTAAAAGTGATGAAAATAGCTCAAAATGGCCAATAGATTTAGAATGAGATTTGCTAAAATTTACATAATGCTTACTACCTGCAAACCAAGGCATGATTTATATGTGTAACTTAGCTAATGATTATTGGCAATGCTGGGGCTAGAATCCAAGATCTTACATACGACAGGGAGTAATTCCAGTAGCTTACACTCCCAGCACTCATTTCATATCCTTAAGAAACTGCTACTTACCCATTTAGGAAACTTGTTCATATAACTGTCATGAAAAGCATTCTCAGGATTCAAAGCCAGATAATCTACAAGGAAGATCGCACATTTTACGACTACTGTCTCCCACTTCCTAAGGGAAATGATGCTACCCGGGTCCGCTATGCATTTGAAAGTCATTGTTTAAACTGCAAGCAATAAGAGATGTCATTTGTGCAAACTTTTTTTCTCATTATGAAAGTGAATGTGTTGAGTTTCCAGCAACTAAAAAGGAAACTGAGCATAATGAATGTGCCAAAAAAATTACACAGTGTAAATGTTAAGAGCAGAAATGGTGGCACTTTAGATTCTTCAGCTGGCATTTCACCCCAAGACTATTCTCATTCAAAGCAAACACGTGAGAAAAGTGAATACTCATGTTTAACATTCAAGGTCATGCCATTTAAATAGTAAAAAACTGTCTACAGAGAGCGAAAAACCACAGTGGCATCTTTCATAACTCTGCTTAAGCAGAATTCTTTATTAACCAACGTTCTTCTAAAATAGTTACGATAAAGACATGTGAATACAGCTCAATAACAGGCCGTTTGTTGAGCACATCGAGGGCCCTGGGTTTGAACCCCACCACTAGATAATCATTAAACTCGTCAGTATATTAAAGCAATTTTATTATTTTTGAATAAAAAATCCATATAACTCACATTCCACAGAATCAAATCAATTTTTACAGGCAAAAAATATGACATACTTTGTATTTCACTTTCTAAAATTAAAGGCAGCATGGAAGTTTAACACATGATATTAGCCTGAAGTTAGGGAAGAAGAAGGTGTGATTCTTAATAAATGTGAATCTATGTCTCTTTGAAGGTGTCTTTGAAAGAAGCAAAAGGAGAGAGAGTGATGTAGATCTTGTCTAAAACTGAAGTTCAAAGTCCACCTTCCACATGGAAAGAATTACAAAAGTTTTTTTTTTCCTTTTATTTTCCATTGTGAGATATTAAGTGGGAAAATGTATCCAGGCTATGTAGGTCCCTGTGTGGTCTGAGAGGCATCAGGAACCATAGCCCAAGGAATGTAGGACACGAATATGACAGTCTGTGTAACTGGTTGCTGTGAACTTTAGCAGCAAAGTTAAAAGAAAGAGAAAAAGAAAAGAACATTCACCACTTCAATTTGTATCTCAGAATCACCCAAGAAGCTCTCTTCACAGGGTCCTATGAAATAATGAGAACATAGGCAGCATGGCTCACTTATAATTAAGTTTCTTGGTAAGGAACATTTATTATAAACAAAAAGAATGGTTTACAAAATCAACAGAATATCACCAATAAATACAAATGGTATTTTGTTTCTATAGAGTTTATTCTGTAGGTTAAAAGATGATGAAATAAAAAAGAGAACTCTGCTGAATTTTGTTGAAAAGTTTTTTCATTGGGTTTGAAGTCATTTAAGCAGTTCAGAAAAACAAACACCTGTCTTCTTTAGTATGCCTCAAAATATTAATTTCTCACTGTCCTTAAAAATTAGAATAATTAAAAACTAGGATGACTATAATGCAAAATTAGCCAAAAGTAAGTACACTCTGGATAATTACTTCAATTTATCTGAGGTATATTTTACTAGTGCTTTTATTATGCTTGTCTTCATTTCTAACAAAAATCTCCCTTAGTTTTGCTATAATCATGCATATAGTTTCTGTACAATGTCCCATATTTGACTAAGTATTTTAAAATCAATCTCATTAATATTAAAAAAAAAACCCATCTCCAAACAAGTCATGTTTAAGTTCTCTGGCTATGCTATATTTTTTTCTTTTCCTTGTTTCTCTCCAGAAATATAACTACTGAGCCAAGAGCCTCTACCCAATTTTCAAACAAGTATAAACCCTACAAAACCCAAGAAACATTCTATAATGTTCTGAAATTTTCATTTAATCATAATTTCAATTAAATAAATTTAACCACCATTGATAACAGAACAGTTTCACAAGAGAATATATGTAAATCACTACACTTAAAGAAATATACAAGAAGATTATAGATTTTCCCAAGTATTAATTAATTAAGCAATTTATTTATTTCTGTCCATTGTAATTCAGTAGATGAAACATTACAAATGTCTATCACTAGATACTCGGAGGCTGACAGACCAAAGGTTAATATATACTTTTCACTTAAGTATCTCACTTCATAAAAATATGTTCCTTGGATCTGAAAATCTATTCTCTTCCTAACAAAACACAATGCAAAACTGAATGATCAGGATCGACGGTAACTAAGATCATGGCCAGGGAGGAGTCTGCTCCAATAGGTCTATCTACTAAGGGAAACCTCAGCTTACAACATTGTTCATAGCTTTGCTCTGTTAGAGCTCATAATTCCCCAAGGTGAAGACTTTTCAAATTCACCATAGTTTCATCATGTGCATTAACACAGAATAGTCAGAATTTCATTTCTTATCTCAGATTCTCAATTTGCACAACTTTTATGCCCTCACTTTTCCAATGACTCTCTGGATTTCAATTACTAAATTTCTAATACTGGACCTTTCCTTTGTGGGGAGAGGACACACATTGTTTAGTAGAATTAAAGGTGGTCAAATTCTACCTCAAGATACAGGCATCTGAATAAAATGTATCATTTAAGAAGAGAAGATCAATGGGAACTACTACAGAACAATCACTCTTGAGTAGATTTAGGCTGGTGAGACTACTCACCACCAAGGCTTATTTCCATCCCTGTGGCCCACAGAGAAGTAGGGAAGAACTGATTCCCAAGGGTTTTCTCTTGACTTCTGTATGCACACAGTTAGCATATCCATACTCATATACATAAACTATACATACATAAATAAAAAATAAATGTTTAAAAAGCATTAACTTTTGCAGTTACTTTCCATTACAAACACCAATACTGTTACCATAAAACCATGTGGTTGGTTAATTATAGTGGATTTTTGGACCCTAAACTTAAACTTCTCACTTGTATCTATCACTATTATGCACTCTCCTATCCATATAAAATATGTTAGCATAACTCAATGAATTTGAGTTCAAATGACATGACATTGGAAAATTCCAGGACCCTCTACTGTCTACTGCATTTCCTTCCATGCCATACAATACTGCATATTTACATTAGACCTCCTAAAATGATACATGATGAATACTGGAGAATCCCAGGGAAGATGTTTTCTTCTGTGACAACTTAGCTTTAGAAAAGTTTATGAACCTTTTTTTCTCTCTCATTTGCTTTGAGACAAGCTTTGCCGGTGAAATTTATGCTGAAAAACAACTGCTTAAATAGTGTTTCTTCATTACTGGATCACAGCATTTAGTGGCAATTCAGAATACAGTGATACTCGGAATTTCAACGCTGGGGCAGGACAAAGTAACAACAGACAATAATCATTATACCAATAATGCTGATAAGTGTGAGACACATTTGTAGACCGTGCCACTCAGGAAACTGCATCACCACGTGTGGGAAACAAAGGCACACTACATTTTGTTGAAGGTGTCATCAAATAAAACTTTTATCTCCATCTTTCCTCCCTCAGGACCACAATTTTCTTTCAAGCAAAGTGGACAGTGGACAGTTCAGCAAGATTCCAGTCTCTTTAAATCCACATCACAGCCCCGGAAGAAACTCATTAAAGCCAGGCTAGAAAACAGGGAGTCTGAGCTGTAACCAGCTTGCATCCCCATCCACCTCCATGCCACAAACACGCCCCCAGATCTGGAGCTAGAAGAGAGCCCAGCCACAAAGGAATTCCACTCAATGAGGAAATCCCAGTCAATGAAGAATCCTTTGGGGAACCCTTCTAAAGCTGCAGTCTGCCTCCCCTCCAACACTAGCGAGCTCTCCAGAGCTCCTAGCTTCTTAGGCTCTGCTCCTCCTCCCGCCTGCTGGCTAGGGGCGATCTCTAGGGTTAGTCAGTCCGCACGTGACTCTCAGTGCCCACATGACATGACCATGGGCGGGGGAGAAGGACTGGGGAGTGAAGCAGGGAAAAAGTTACTGAACACGGGTCAAAGTCTCCAAAGCAATATGTCCCTTTCCTTCCTGGCCAGCCAGTGTTCAGAGATCCCTAGGGAGCTGCTGGGGACCAAGAAGTCTCCAGACCAGCTTTGGATATACTCCAAGCGTTCTCCACTTGCCCCAGGGCTCAGAGCTTCTCCCAAACCCTGTAATGACACCTCTGCACCTCAAGTTGCTCCATCCTCCCTTCTCCTTCCCCTCCTGACTCCTTCCTTCCCCGAAAGCTCTATATCCACTGTGGGCGATGCCACTGACGCACATTCTATTTGGCCCAGGAGCTCTGAGGAGGTCAGACAAGGCCAAGCACCTTCTAAAGGCGAGGATCCAACTACACAAACTAAGTTGCTTGCCACGCTGCCATCCGGCTTAGCCCGCCGACCAGCCCCCTGCCCCGGTCCCACTAATGCTCCCTTCACAGTTACAGTGCTCTCTGGACCCCACCCCGCGGTGGCGCAACATACACCCCACACGCGCGCCCACCCTCTCCTTGCCCTCCCCACGCAGGGGTCCCACCGCCGGGCAAAGCACCGGGCAAGCTGCGCTCACCTTGCTTGACACACTTGAGCCGGAGGGGGTCCTTGCAGTGTTTGATCACGGCTAGAACGTCCCTGATGGTGAGCCCCGCCACGGGGGTCTCGTTCACCTCCAGCAGCAGCTCCTCGGATACCAACTTGCTGCCGCTTTCATAGGCCACCTTGCCCGGCTTCACCTCCCCCAGGTAGGGGAACTGTCCGTTTTCGGCGCCCCCCTTCAGTTCAAAGCCCAGCTGGCCCTCCGGGTTCCTGCCAATGACACTCTCGTGGACTTTGCTAGTCCAGTGGCTTTTCTTTTTCAAGCTTTTGGACATGGCAGTAGGGTGAGTCGCCTCAGTTCCTGAGGGTCCTTTGGGGAAGAGGGGTTGGGAGTCAAAATCGGGATGGAGGACCCAGGGGGCCAAGGGACGAGGGTGGCAGACTTTGCCTGTCTCCCCTCTGCTCCGCGCTTTCCCTCTTCTTTGGATGGAGTGTGGCGGAGGAAGGGGGAGGATGAGAGGGACGGCTGGGCAGAGGTAGGAGAGCTTGGGTGAGGTTGTGCTGTCCCTTGAATGACACTCAAGGCTGTGGCCCCGCAGCGGAGGAAGCTGTGGTGGCGTTGGCGGCGTTGGCGGCGGCGGCGGCGGCGGCAGAGCCAGCGCGAGCAGTGGCCGAGCTGGTGAGCGGGTGGCGTGGGGGTGGGGAGAAGGGTAAGGATGCCGGGGGCCACTCCTGCGTGCTGCGAGTGGGAGCGCGCGCGCGCTCGCCGGCCTCTGTGTTGTTAGCCGATATCCATGGCAGCTGCAGTGGCAGCGGCGGGGAGCGCGTGTGTGTGCGCGTGTACTAGTTGTACTGTACTGGCAGGATGCGAGCGGGCGGGGAGGGGGATGCGAGCCCAGGGAGGAGGCGCGCGCACCGGGTGGAGCGCCAGGGAGGGCTTCGCCGCCGTCTCCCTCCCTCCGCGGCTTGACCCGGTAGTGAAGGCGGAGAGAGAGAGGCAGGCCCCGGGCCGCCCCGCAGCCTGCGGGAGGAGGCGGGAGCCGGGAAGGAGGGGAGCCGAGGCCCCGCGTGGGGAGGCCGGCGAGAAGGGCCCGGAGCCCAGGCTGGACCTGCCTGCCTTCAGCTTCCCTGTGAGCCCGGCTGCTCGCCCTCAGGACACCTCGACTGGTTCACACCCCAGAACGGATGAAGCAGAAATCCAGGGACCCGATGGCAAGCCCGGCGCCTGGTGGCCCATCTGCGGCGGCGCCTGCCTGCTGGGGCTCCATCCCGCCACCGGAAAGCTGGAGTTCCAGGTTCTAGCATGGGACTGCAGAGGGCCTGGCAGCCAGAGCTCGACTTCCCTGTTGTCTCGCTTCACTTTTACAGTCTTACATTCCTAGCAAAGTTCTCAGAAGTCCCCCTCCGAGGAGGGAAAGTTAGAGGAAGGAATCTGGTTGTCCTGGCAGCAGGAAGAAGGTGAAGCAGCGGCTGCAGACCAAGGCCACGAGTCCCCTGGGAAAGAAACTGAAGAGGGTGGAGCGGGGCAGGATAAACAGCAACTGCCCAGGCTGAAAAGTGGCCAGGGTCGATGAGGGGAGCGGTTGAAAAGATGACTGGAGTGAGAACCGAGCCGTAGAAATGGGAGGTTTAACCTGGACAGGAGTCAAGCTTGTACCTGGGGACTAAGCCTTAATATAATCTTCGGACAAGCACCCCCCACTACAGAAAAGGCAAGAGAGCTCTTGGTGGGACATGAACTCAGCTCACTGTACCCCATCTATCTCCTTTCCTTTCTCCAAATTTACAGCCAGGGAGAAATCTAAACAAGGCACAGAGCACAAGAGCTGCTGACTTCCCCTGTGAAACCTTGAGTGATCTTCTTAAGTTCCTGTAGCTTAAATTCCATTTGCTTAACTTTGAAATAATATGTTTCAGACAAAGAAAAAAAATACAGTCATTCACCCACTCATCTTTGTAAATCAGAGCATGGAAATCAGCAGCAGTTAAGATGTCTGGGATGGAGTGTGGGAGGAAAGCCGTACAGCTTAAAAGGCTTAGACGACCCAAACAGAAACGCGGGGCTTGGAATCCAGGCTCTGCTGCTTCTCAGGAGTGCAGTATTTAGCTAACTGTTCGACCTTTCTCGGTTTGCTTCTTTTTAAATATGATTAACAATCTTAATTGGGGCATGATGCAGTGAGGAGAAAATCAGGAGAAGCATGTGCAGCGCTTGCCTGGCTCAGCTTGCTGGACTGTGAATAGCCATTTCCTGACTCTTTCCTTCACTCACTTTTTTTTTTTTCCTGGTGGAGAGGACAGCAGATTGCATCAGAATTGAAGATCTTTAAAAAGGATAAATCTGATTAATGTGGTGTCTTTTTCCACTTGAGAAAGTGCATCTCCAGTAAGTTGGCCGTGACTAGTAGGGCGATCCAGTCTTGGCCTTAGGAAGTGCTCAGGAGTCTCTGAGATTACCAGCAAAAGCCCAGTCTCACCCAACTGGGCTGGGATTATAAAAACACCATTCTAAGTGGAAACCGATAGTGAGCAGAATTTGCATTTGCTTAACACCAGTTACAAATTACCATAACCGTGTAGGCTAATATTTAATGTTCTAATTGTATATTACCTGTTCTTTTGTTATGTTTATATTATGTGCTTCTTTACAGGTGAGGAAAAGGAGGCACACAGAGATGGAGTTTACAAAGCTTTGTTTAAATTGTGTACACAGTTTTGCATCTAACTAATGTAACAGTAATACCATCCATTGGGAACCTCTAGCCTGTCTTCACACCTCCATTCAGTCTCTGCATTGAACTCATCCCTCCCGCGCACATACCAGCACTCAGTAGAGTCTGACCATACATTTAGGTCTGCTCCTTTTGAGGGAGAAAAGAAAAACAATGGAGCAGCTGTTTTCATAAGAAACTCACATCGTCCTTAAGCCAGAAAGGCTGTGGAACTCAGTGATGTCAGGGCTCTTCAGCTCCCCATCCACCCTATTTTGCCTTGTACCCTGATTTTAGAATCAGAATCTTCAAGCAGTTCTCTCTTGTCTTTCCAGTTAGTTGTCGGTCAACTTGATGCAGGTCGTATTTTTCTGGGAAGAGGAACTGCACATGAAAAAATTCCTCTCTCAGACTGCTTGTAGGCAAGTCTTGTAGGGCATTTTTTGGTTAACAATTGATGTGGAAGGGTGCGAGGGTCCAGCCCTCTGGGAGGAGTACCACCCTGGATAGGTGGTTCTGGGTAGAATAAGAAGGCAGAGTGAGCCAGCCACAGATAATAAGCAGTGATCCTCTGTAGCCTACATTTTGGTTCCTGCCTCCAAGTTCCTGACTTGAGTCCCTGCCCTAACTTTCCTCAAGGGTGGAATGTAAGATCAAATTAACTGCGTTCTCCCAGAGTTGTTTTTAGACAGAGTGCTCTGTCACACAGTAGATAGCTAGCTAAGACAGCTGTTGATTGACACAATGCTGGACTTTGTCACTGGAAGGTCTTACGGTGCTTCAGATGCTGTTAAGCTTGCTCTAGGATGTGCTCTATGGTTGGATTTCTAGCCAGTGGTGTGAAGAATTCAGTAAGCTTTACCAAGTCTCCCTGGCCTTTCAATGGCCTTTTTCTTAGTTTTTCCTGGAGTGCAACTGGTATGTTCCCATCAACTATGTGACATCTCAACAATTATCTTGACCATTATGTGAGCCATGGCCATATATCATCAATCAAATCTAACTATATGACTTTATGCCTTGTCAGGATGAGAAGTCAGTCTAAGTTATTCCCTTCTTGGATTTGAACGCCATCCTATAGCCTTGTAGGTAGTGGCTGCTTCCTATAGTGGTTATTTCTGTGTTCTGTAGAAGTCTCTTTTCTATCTTACCTTCATTTACTACACACGCACGCACGCACATACACACACAGAGAGGTATATATATATATATATATATATATATATATATATGTATATATATATATATATATATATATTTTTTACAATAGGCATTAGGTTCTGATATATGTGTCACCAACCCCCTCAATATTTCTTCCCCCATCAGACTGAATGTCTGATTTTTTTATTTAAGAATTATATTTAAGAATATATTTGTATATGCATATACTTATATGCATGCAATAACAATTAGTGAAGAAAGAAGACATGCATTTGATGGAAAGCATGGGGTATGAGGGAGGGTTTAGAGGGAGAAAAGGAAAGAGAGAAATGTTGTAATTATAATCTCAAACATAACAGCAACAACAAACCCCATTTATACAGTATGGAGGCTAAGATAGTTTTCTGAAGCAGTGTTTCATAGACTTCTCAATAGCTAGGCTGATAAATAAGTCAACCTGGTCTGGGTGGGCACATACCCTCTTTTAAGTGCTGTGATTTATACAGAAAACTGGCAAAAAGATTTTTTTTATATTTCATATTTATAAGATGAGAGCATAAGAAAAGCTGTTTGTTAAAATTTTAATAATTACTTTCCCCCTACTTAACCAAGACTTTTGTTAAAAATAAGTTTAAGATTTTATCAAATGCTTCTTTGTATCAAAATAAACATGTCATATTTCTTTGTTTCTGCAACAAATTTTACATCTTTTCAACTTGATTTTAGATGTACAGAACTCTTCAGTTATTTTTTGTGGGAGCCCACAAAGATTCCAACTTTTGGTTTGACTCAAGGTCAGAGATTCAGAGTTTATGTTGCTCTCCAAGGCTGCATAATAGGATGCAAAGGCCTGATTAGGAGGTGTCTTGTACTTCCAGGCCTAATGACATGATACTTTACTGTAGGGTGTGGTTACCAGGTGTTTTGAGGGGTCTACACTTGGTTGTACTTCTTGCTTTGATCTTGAAAGGAAAGGTCTTTAGCCTCTCCTCTTGGTAGTGTATAAAAAGTCCATTAGAAATAAACTTGAGGCTGCTGGATATTGACCCAGAGCCCTCCAGAGGCTGTCCTGTGTCTCTATCTTTTTTCTTCATCTACTTCAAAAATCAGCATCATTTTGTGATCTCACAACTGTAAACTTTCCACCAATTTGGTTACTTTCATTTCTGGAATACCTTTATATTTCCTTATTTATACTTTGCTTTCTTTACTGTTTTTGGATTTTATATGTACTGTAAGAAAGAATTTCATAACAGCATCATAGGTGCAGAGCATAACACTAGACATGATATTAATAAAGAGATACTAGAGGTTGGAGAAAGAGTTCAATTGGTAAAGTGCTTGCTGTACATTCATGAACTTCTGATCCCCAGCACATGTGCAAAAGGTGTGTGCCTGCATCCCTAGTGTTTGCTCCTCGGGGTACGGGGATAGGAAGCTCCTGCCAGTTCAGTCTAATTCATGAGTTTCAAGTTCAGTGAGAAATCCTGTCTCAAAACAATAAGGTAGAGAAAAGTTGAGGGCAACACCCTAGGTTGACCTCTGACTTCCAGACTCACAGTAATACATGTGTGTGAATACACACACACACACACACACACACACACACACACACACACACACACACACACACGATTCTATGAAATAGCCTCCACATGTCCTATGATTGAACTGGAATATCTTTCCCCTATCTTCTGAATACTTTTGCTTCACGTATCATGTCTCTTTTTGAAAGAATGCATAAAAAATTGCTAGATGTTTTCTGCTTCAGACTTAGAAACCCATGAGGTACCACCTGGAAGTTAACTTCTCTCTCAGGATTTGTTTGTCAAGTGTTACCCAAGAGAGTGGGAGAGCCTGGTCTGCCTCCTCTAGTAGCAAGAAAATCACATACATAATATCCACCTGAGGCTCCCTTGTAAGATCTTACTGAAGCTAGGATTTAACCTGAAATCACATCTTTTCCTATCTTGCTTATTCTTTAAGAGTCTTTTTTAGACTGATTCTCCCAATAATATTTTACATACAATCTTCTTCTCAAGGTATGGTTCTATGGACCCTGGCTTAAGAGTTTTCTATTCATTTTTAATAGGTGAGAAAATAGAACTTCTTATATTTTAAATTACTTAAATTACATTATCCATAAGGATAGGGTTGTGATTTGATTTATGTCTATGTCACTTTAAAGCCCTTAGCCTAGGTTACATTTAAAGACCTTATTAGTGAGTATATATTGTTAGTTTACCTTTGTAAATAGAAGCAGACAGAAAACTTGACATCTGATTGACCAATAAACATACAAATTCTACCTATATGTGAAGAAATCTATAACTTATCTAAAAATCCTTGTCAAATAGATACAGACATGTTGAATACTTTAATAATGAGCAATAGCAGATATTCAGTCAAGGGCTCTCTTGATATCTATAGATGTTAAGTCCAGCATTTCCATTTGTTTCCTGTTGCTTCTGTAATAAAGTAACACAGATATGGTTGATTACAGCAGCACACTCATTTATACAGTTTGGGGTGAGACTTATAACACAATCATCCTCAGTTGCAGTTCAAATGTTATAGCATCTTTGCTCTTTTCGGAGGCTAAGGAGGTATATTACTATTCCTTTAATTTTATGGTCCTGGAGATTGTGTTCTCTGGTTTGAGATCTCTTTGTTCTGTATCTAAAACATGATCCCTGGTAGAGTCTTTCATACATCCTATCACACTGATTCAGCCTCTTCCACTTTCCAGGACTCCCATGATTATTCTAGGCCCTCCAGAAAATCCAAGTTCTTATTTTAGATTTAGCTGATTTAGCAATTTAAGTTCCATTTTCAACTTCTCTTGACTTTGCTATATTAAATCACTCACTTGAGTCTCTGGTGGTAGACACTGAACTCTTTCACAGGGAACAGTGTAGGGGACCAATGCCCATCTTCACCTGTGTACTCTTGAGGAGTGAGGGATGAGAGATTTAGAAAAAAAGTGTAGAGAGGAGAGAGAAAGACAGAAACACAAGCTAGCCTCAGGAGGGCCTGGATCCTTTCCACTGGCCCAGAACTTTATTCAAAAGGGCTTTTTTATAATAATATCAAGGGAAAGAGACCTCCCTTTTGCTAGATACAACAAAGTCTAGACCTTTCCAAACATTTGGTATTCAGGCCTGTTGTCCAGTCATCCTTTTATGCAGCCCTGCTTGTAAAGCAAGCTCAGATCTCATTAGAAAACCTTTGTTGACCCCAATCTTAATATTTTAAAAAGCTCCCCATTAAGATCTTTCAAGTAGCTGTAACAACCACAGCAATCCCCATAGCTGTCATGCCTCCCAGTGAAGGAGTAGAGGATGATAAAGATGGAATATCCTTTTTGGAATGGGTCTCAGGTGACTAAAACACACCAAGCCCCTTTTTAAATCAATAAACTCTTGATGCAACCACATCAAATAAAACAAATTCTGGATGCAACTGCATCAAACTTAAATATCCCCTTAGCTTCACCAAACATTAACAGGTTAAC